CTCAAAATGTTATTGTGTGAGTATTTCCTGCATTTCCACCTCTACAGTGTAGCAGTGTAACTAAATTAAGGCCCTGATTCTGAAGCTAAGGTGTTCAGACAGGCCTCAATGTCATTGAAGTCAGTGGTGGGATGGAGAGTCACTGGTTCTCCTTTACAGGATTTAAATGGTGATTGAGACTTAAATACATCTTCCGATGAAAATGACATCTGGTGTTCTGAAAAAACATTCATTCCATTGGCTTTGGAAGTGTTTTAGGTTGTCAGATGGTGCAAGCGTACGTTTGCATTAGCTCACGGTGGTGATGCTTACCAAATGTCATCATGACGTGAAACCATAATGACTGCATTCTCAGACTGTTTTTAGTTTTCAAATATTAAAAAATCTGCTAGATAAGGGGGGGTGGAGGGAGAAAAGGAAGTTAAATAAGTAAAAATGTACAAAACAAGAAGTCAGTAGCTGTCAAAAAAAAAATGCTTATAGCAAGAAGGGTAACAGATACAAATCTGGTGATTTCATACATCTGGTTATGTCTGGAAACAAATCTTCTTGGCTTGAAGAACTATACAAGGTAGTGAACTGTATGTACTCCTCGAAGCAGTGATAGAATTGGGCTACAGTTGCTTCTATATCCCCAGGAAGAAGTAAGAGAGTAGCTCAAGATGTTCAAGGGGAAATGTCAGTGCCTGCTGAGATCTGAATCCAGCTGGTTAGAACAGTCATTGGATAAGGCCAAAGAAGATGATAAAGAGAAAAGGTGCTATGGAGAGCCCTCCCTGCCTGTATGGAATTTGGAGCTGGGGCTCACAGTCTCTCAGTTCCATCAGACAAGGCTAGAATTAATTCAGATTAATTGTGAGGCTTTGGTACATGGTAGAATGAATGTTTTATTCTGTCAAAATGTGTATTGGAAGTGCCTTTAGCTAAAATAAAATGCCAAGAACGGGTTTTGTTTTCCATATTCACCTTCAGTAGTCTGCTTTAATCCATGGATAGTCTTACCTGACAGGCTTTTGCCATTCGGGGAGCTTCTCTGATGGTCAAGTGAAGTGCCTGTGCAGGAGCGCATGTGTGCTTGGTCTGAGATTGGTGGGACACTTGCAGGATTAGCTGAGATGTCACATAGGGGAGGAGATCTGGCTCTAACTAATGTAATAAACTAGTAAGGAAAGACATTTTTTGCCTTTAAAACTCCTTCATTGAGGATTTTAAAGAAAGAGGGGTTGGCAGAAAGATAAAAATAACACCTAGCCTACAGACTGATGTATTTCATTGGGGCAACACAAGAGATTACTTGAAATTCTCAGGCCCTTATGGAGCAGCCAGACTCCTCTTTGCTCACACGTTTTTTATTTTGAAGTTCAAGGTATTTCTAGCTAGGGCACGGCTCTCACACGCGCACCCGTGCACACATGGCCCTGCGTGGATTATGTGAGGGGCTTAATTCTGGCTGCCTGGATTTGCAGGCGGCGTGTTGACAGGAAATTAGTTTGTACTAGGACGTGCCTTTTGAGGACTATTTCCATGCAGTTGTGATGATGACATCAACATGCAGAGGGCTGGAGGGGGGGCAAAGACAGCCCCTTGGCTGGAAGTTGGTTTTGGCAGTGCCTCCGTGGGACTGGAGGGTTAATCATAAGTTGTTTTTCTGGCTGCCGTTTGCGTCAAAAGTCCGGGCAGCCTTAATGAACGTTGCCTGTGTTAATTTGAAACCCTTGCTGGGAAATTATGGGAAAATGGAAAAACGCATACTTGTGTGTCACCTTTCAGATTAACAGCTTAGGCAGCAGTAGAGCTCTCGGCGCGCATGGTGCGGCTCTGATGCAGCTCTGAGCAGCTGGTAAAGAGATCTCTTGCTGTAAACCTGTGCCTGCCTGTGATTTTTATAGGGTATCCTGTTAAGCCAAAAGCTAATTTGCTGTAGACTCTGTGCTAAAAATGGTGCATCATATGACAGCTTAGTGAACTGTGTAAATAAAAGCACTGAAATTGGAAATTCCTGGTGTCATAGGTCCCAGACACCTCTTCATGTGATACTGTTTTTGTTATTGATTGTTTTTGTGTGTGTGCTTTTAAAATTTTTTTACTCCACTTTTAACAGGTAATAATAAAGCACCGAATAATGCACTGGTATCCCCCTTCATTGTTTGAGCGGTGTGATGCCATCAGTGATTGCTTAACTGCAATTTTCTGATTATGCCCTAATTGCATGAAAGTCTTTGTAATGTACATTCCCCTGTAACAGTGGGGGTTTTCTTTAGAACAAACACTTCTTTTAATTTTTTTTTTTCAGTCTGAGGCTTGTAAGAGAAATGTTTATATTGGGGAAAGATGTAATATCCGTTCTAGCCACCCCTCTTAAAACTAAATATTTCTTCTTTGTTTCTTTAAAAAAAAAAAAAAAAAGAAAAAAGTTTAGCATTTCCCCCAAAGTCTTCTAGCTTCAGATCATCTCATATAATGTTAACATTTTGGTCCCAGTCTTACAATTATTTTTTTCCTTTGCTTAGCTTTTTCTTCTGTGCAGTCTATTGGGTATAAAGTTGAGTAAATGGGAAACTTATGCAAGATGGGAGGCCTGAATCCCTACTGAGGCTAGCTTATGTTACAAAGTTGATTTTAATTTCCTTTAAGCTGTGTCCTTCCAAAAGCGTTTACTATCCTTGTCCAACACCTGAAGTGTTTTATCACGTTCAGCCCCTCTATAAGTCAATGGGACCATGACCCATGGGTATGTTAGAAATGCTCTAATATCACTTGGGAATTTCTAACATGGCTGCAGCAAACCAAAAAGCTCATGACTAGCTAACGCAAGTCCCTTTAATATTTCTTAGCAACCTAAATATTCTGTTAGCCAACATTTATTATAGCTCCTCAAAGATATTTTCCAGACTAGGTCTGATAAGTTAACTGTTTTGCACTGGAAGATTACAGAACCAGTTGTAGAATAGGAAAGTTAGAGAATTTATTTGGAGGAGATCTGTGCACGATGGAGTCGTTACTGTTCCTTTGGCTCTGGGACATTTAGGAAGCACTATGGTTGCAGGCGTGCTGGTAGTGGATGGCAGTGCTGCGGCAATGTGTGTGCGTAATAACTGTGCAACTGAATGTGTGTATTCGCTGTTGGAAATAATTGGAACACTTATATTTTAAAATCTAATATTTCTTTTTGGAAACTAGTGTTCA